CTGGTGTGTAGACCAGTACTTGCCACACAATAAGCACTCAACAAATATTTGTTGAGTGTTTTCATAATTGCACTTCTTTGTTATCATTAAACTTCATTAGGAGTTTTGAGTTTCTCAGCCAGAGCAAAGGAAACTCTCACTCTCAAAGTTGAAGAAAGTTAGAGGTAAGGGACCTCCTCAGGTCCCTATTACCACGGATGGTAATGAATCTCAGGGGGAAGCACAGCTCCATCCTACAAGAGAAGAGGGAGACACTCTAGACCGGCTAAGTTCGAGCTGTGTACCCTGTATATCTCTGAGTTCCATGGAGACCAAACAGAACCTCAGGCAGCCCAGGCCCGATGCCAGCTCCACAGAGACAAGGAGTCTGCCACTAATAGGTTACCCCAGAATCCTTTATGGGCACCATGCCCCTGGAAGGGCATGTACCATTCTGCCTAGAAACCTCTTGAGCCCAACTGAAAATGAGTCATATGAGTCTCAACATTGATGTCTGTCTCTGCCTTAGTTTAGGAGAGATGGGTGAATAATTGATTATGTTTCTACATCCATTTCCCCAAGAAAGTGGTCCAGCAGAGATGCTATGATGGGGCAGAATCAACAGAAACTTCCTGAAAAACTGGTGACCCCAGAAGTTCTGGGGAACGCCCAGAGATGAGCTATCTGGGGATGTTGGTGACCAAGGAGTCACGGAACATTTCTTAAGGAAGACTGGTTGTTGGAAACATGGAGGTTTGGGACACGTGCGGTACAAAGAGGACAGGGCCCGCCTATGTCCATGACCTTCCGACCATGTTATAGCTCTGGAGCTTCCTTCATTTTGAATCCCTGGGGGATCCCCCAAGAAACATAGTCCTTGGGCAACATTGCAGAGCCAGGAGCTTCCTCTGAAAACCAGGAGTCTCCATCTTCACAACTGCCTTGAAGACAATAGAACACCTCACCTGGCAGCTAGTGAGGTAACCTGCATGGGTGCAATTTTTGGAGTGGGGGAAGGGGAATCCGACTGCTCTGGACACCCTGCCCAGAAACCTGTCACGTGTTTAAGGTGCCACAGGCAGGCTACTCTGACCACAGGCAGGCCAGCTGACCTCTTTGATTCTTTTCATCATTCTCACTATCCTGACCCAGGTCCAGCTCATGAGTCCCAGAATCTCTAAAGCTTTTGTTTACCGTTTTCATGGACAGCCATTGGTTTCCCCTTTGTCTCTCCTGAAACGTTCTGCCCAACTCTTAACACAAATGGGCTGACGGTGCTGGTTCCTCTCATGAGTTTGAACTTGTTATTTCATAAGCAAACATTACAATAATTAAAAGAGGAAAGAAAAAATCACCCACGATCCTCCCATCCTGATTGGCAATCATGTTCCTTTTCCCAGGTTCTCATCCAGTCCTTCTCCATGAAAATACATATGTCACATAGCTATAATGTCGTATGTTATCACTTTTCTGATGCAATCTGATCACATTGGGTCCTGCTCCTGTCTTGGATGGAGTCACCTCCTCCCTACAGAAGCTCGCCTCAACCTATCATTTCTATGAAGAACAACCAATGACAAGCTTGTGTAGTTCTGTATCCAGATCTCTAAGGACAATATTAAGTAATGTAAAACAGAGAAGTGACAATCACTTAAAACAAAGATATACACTCTCCAAATTTGAAATTGAAATTGACTGATGAACAATCTTGAATATCACTGTTAATTGTTACGATTCTTTGTTATCATTATTAGGATATTATCCCAAAAAATTAAGCATGATGCCTCATCTGCGAATATATGCTCTCTCCCACACTATGTATCAGTTTCATAGCACATGCATCCTTTGAAAAGTATCAGCCAAATAATAGATTAACAAAATGTTTATAATAACGTGACGCTAATATGTCAGAAGGAAAGAGGTACAAAATACATAATCTATGAGCATGGTATGTAAAGCAATAAACACTGTTATTAAACACTAAGAATGAAAAAAATACAGTAGAAGTAAATCAAAATCTGGCTAAAAATGTCTCTATGGGGCTACATGTGAAATTTTTGCTCCGTTTCCTATGGATTTTCTATGTTTCCTAAGCTTTCCACAATGAGCTGATAATATCTTTGTATTTTTTAAACAGTTTGTTTCAGTACATATTGCCCAAGTCACGGTATCTTTTCTCCAATTTTACTCTGATTTCCTCTTATTATCATCCCACTAGAGTTTCAGTCACAAAGGAGGAAATGAACATACCTAACATTATGTGAGTGCTTGCTCTGTGGCTAGCCTTGTGCTAAGTGTTGGAAATGCATTATTTATTTAAGTTGTGGGAGAACTTTTTACAAAGGTGCTCTTACTGTTCCCACCAAGGAAACAGTTTTGGTTAGGTAGATAACGGTCCCAGACTTGTTGGTGAATGATGGAGCTCAGGTGCAACCACCATCTCTAACTTCAATGCCTTCTGTAACAAGCTATAGGGTAAGTATTCCACCAATGCTTTCTATCAAGGTCTGTGATACATCGGGTACAGGATTTACAGTGGCATACATTTTAATACACTTGAGAGACCCCCTGTAGCGGTGGGATGAATATGAGAAAAGAATGAAAGGAGTTTAATACGGAGTTTCCTAATAGAAACAGAGAAATGGGAAAACTTTTCCCAAGGACTCCCCCAAAATTGATTTACGTTAGGTCAAAGTATGTGTGACTTGATGCTAACTCCATGAGATCTGGACAACCAGCCTGAGGAGGGAGACAAAGGGACTCAGAGATCAAAGAATTAAAGGACTCCTTCAGCTCTGAATCCCTCTTTCCTTTCAGTTCCAAGTGTCCTTGGGTCGCCAGAGCATCCCTCCTCCTGATGCTGCACACCTCTGATTGGCCACCCTCAGCAGAGGTCAGAGCAGCCATGAGGAACCACACCTCTGTCACCGAGTTTGTCCTGCTGGGACTCTCAGATGCCTGTGAGTTGCAGATGCTCATCTTCCTGGGGCTGCTCCTGACCTACCTCCTCACTCTGCTGGGGAATCTCCTCATCGTGGGCATCACCCTCGTGGACAGGCGCCTCCACACCCCCATGTACTACTTCCTCCGCAACTTTGCTGTCCTGGAGATCTGGTTCACCTCGGTCATCTTCCCCAAGATGCTGACCAACATCCTGACTGGATACAAGACCATCACTCTCCCAGGCTGTTTCCTACAAAGTTTCCTCTATTTCTCCCTGGGCACCACAGAGTTCTTCCTTCTGGCAGTGATGTCCTTTGACAGGTATGTGGCCATATGTAACCCCTTGCGTTATGCAACCATCATGAGCAGAAGGGTCTGTATAGAGCTGGTTCTTTGTTCATGGATGGCAGGATTCCTTCTCATTGTCTTTCCAAGTTCCATCACTTTTCAGCAGCCATTTTGTGGCCCCAACGTCATTAACCATTTCTTTTGTGACAACTTTCCACTCCTGGAACTCATATGTGCAGACACAAGTCTGATAGAGCTTCTGGGTTTTATTGCGGCCAACCTCAGTTTGCTGGGCACTCTGTCCGTGACGGCCACCTGCTACGGCCACATCCTCCACACCATCCTGCGCATCCCCTCGGCCAAGGAGAGACAGAAAGCCTTCTCAACCTGCTCCTCCCACATCATTGTTGTGTCTCTCTTCTATGGCAGCTGCATCTTCATGTACATCCGGTCAGGCAAGGGAAATGAGGGGGAGGACAGGAACAAGGTGGTGGCCTTGCTCAACACCGTGGTGACCCCGATGCTCAATCCCTTCATCTACACCCTGCGGAACAAGCAGGTGAAGCAGGTGTTTAAGGAGCAGGTAAACAAGCTCTTCTTATAAACCTGTGGAATTAAGAGGCTGAAACTAATATTCCCAGGAAGGCTAACACGATTCAGGACCCTGCCAGAAATGGAGACTTTCCCACTTAGAAAATTCTCTGCTGCCATGTTTCTGGGGTGCCAGTCACTATGCAACTCAGCATAACCTCATAAGCTCTCTAGATCCCCAAAGCATTTTTATTAATGATCAGATTTGAATTTTTCTCTTCATTCCATCTGTGTCTGCCTGGCTTCCCAACAGAATACAAAGAGCTCTTTGGGAGCAGGTCCCAGCTCTGTAATTCACCACAAGCCTCAAGCACCAACCCATTGTCATTGACCATATAAATACTCAATAAGTACTTGCACCCTAACTGGTTCTTTGGGATCTGTTGCTCCAACACCCTCAGAGGAGAGGGTGCTAACAGTTCTCTGTTAGCACTGCCCTCATTTCACACTTGTGCTCCTCTCACAGTAATACATCAGCAAGAACTCAACAGAGGACTAAGCCCAATTGCTTATTATTTTGTACACAAAGTTCTTATGCTTTTTTTTAATTAAAATTGATAGAAATTCCTCGTTCCTATCGATAACAGCTCTCCTACCTACTGGTTGGTTACTTCTCTGAGCCTCAGTCTTCC